GGAAACAAAGACTTTACCTGATTTTTCAATTGTTAGACACAGAACTGTAGCCAATACTTCATAAATAGGGGATACTTATGGATATTTCTTTTAAAATGGAGTTGAAGTTTTATGTGTGGATCCACTGGAGAGTTTGGGCAGAAGATCGGAACTTAGTTTCTTTTCAAGAGATGCCTTTACAAGCCTTGAAAGTGAAATATTTTCCATGCTGTTTATATTGTGTGTGCACTATCATAAGTTTTTACAAGACATAATTTAACTGAAAAAACTAATTGAAAAGTGAAGTGTGGGGCTTTGCAAGCAATCAAATGGTATCTACTTTTTGTTTGTTGTTAAAGTGAATATGTATAACCTTGGGACAAATTTTCAAAATTATTTCTGAAAGATAGTGTAAATGCTTGCCCACTCAGTGCTCAGACAGACAGGCTCTTTCAAAGCAAGTCTGCATCATTAAAGACGTCATTGCCCTCAGCTCAGGTATATTAGTTAATAGATATTAGGTGGTGCACAGGAGTTCTCCAATTTAATGCAACCCCAGAAGCCGGGTAGCTAAGGTCACGTTCCAGTAGTATCCTCTCCTGCCTATCTAAAATACCATCTTTCAGATACTTTTTGATAGATTAGAGACTCAAATCCAGCCCAGTTAAGATTAGACATATGGGTGAGGTATCTAGGGAAGTTTCATAATTCCTTGATAAATAGACATACCTGCCACCATACCATACACTCCACCTGAGGTCTAAATTACACTATGGTGATGCCTCTTTCTTTCCATTGCTGATAAAAGGTTATCTAGGGACCTAAAAAAGGAGACCTTAGTTAAGCTCTAAAAATTGGGACAATAATTACTTCATCTTACACAGAATTCCAATTCCTGAGGCCACTGTGGAAAATGTGCCTGAAAATCTACAAGTATAATGTACTGCTCACTTTAGAAGTAATTTTTTTAACTGTATTTTTATTACATTTTAAGCTTACCTCTAAGATCAGATATAGACACCAAATCTGAATCACCATTCTATATATCATTTTTATACTCAGAAGAGACTAAGTATGTAGTAGAAAACGTAGTAAAATATAATGAAATATGGTAACAAATATTTAATCTCTTCTAACATGGTAAACCTATTAGGTTTAGAAATCTGTATTGTGGTCCAGAAAGCTGTAAACTGTTATGTTATTAAACCTAACCGAAGCCAGCATAATTCCATGTATTGGGAAAAAACAGATATTAGAGCAGAAAGGAACTGTTTTGGCTTTTGTGTCTGCCTTTGTGGTTCTCAACATTACTTGATTATATAGCATTACTTCATCTTTCGGTAAGGATGTGCTGCAACGAATTGAAGATAGGAACATGAAAAAAATTGTACATAGAAGAACCAGAATCTCAAGCAGATCCAGATAAACAGATCCAGCCAGACAAAGAATGTGATTGTGGTTTTATGTATGCAGTGTGTAAGAAGCAAAGGTTCAGGTAAAGCCCCAAAATGCTATTGACTAGAACTGACCAGCTGGATTAACTTTTATTGCTGCCATATACAAAATAAAGAAGGGAGGGCAAGGGATTTTTTTAAAAAGTATTTTTGATGTCGAGTACAATATAATATTAGAAGATTTCAAGATGTTTCAAAAGGCAACGCTTTGTCAGACACCATGAAGCAGAAAAACCTGCAGCAGGACATTCAAGGTTATTCTGCCCAAGTTTTTCCACACAGAGCATGACTAGACCACCTCTAAAGGAGAAGATCCTCAGCAGTAGGAAGCCTCCCTCTCTATCATGTCATACTGCTGTCCCACCTGAAGTCCAACATAAAAGCGCATGGATTTCTGCTCTATAGGGGCAGTTCCCTGTTCATTTCTCTGAAGAAACAGAGGTGTCCCAAGAGAGGTGGTGGAGGCTTCCTTTTGTGTCTTCTGCTGCAGGGAGTTGGGTTCCTCCGCTGTTTTCCACTTTATATTTCCATGTGCTTTCTCTGGAATTAGCATACTACTATTATTTTTATCATGTAATTATACATTAATTGTCAGCCACCATGTAAGTAAAATGCACTTGGGCAGTTGTGACCTGTGTTAACACAATTCTTTCTTTTGTTTTTTTTTTAAATACAAGGTCAGTAATTATTAAGAACATAATAGTGGGAATAGCTTACACAGCGGTTAGAGCGTATCATCTTATCAGAATGACTTAAGATGTCTTGTGACACATTTTCAGCCAAGATCCAACCTAGCTTCTGATTTCAGAAGTGTAATTATGAACCCACAAACACCTCTACCCACAAAAATACTGCAGGCATAACTGTTTGCAACTGGACACCCAGTAAAATACAATATATTGATGTACATACAATAGTTCTTATTTGTCCACTCATTTTATGGTAGATGTTAGTCTTTGTGGCCATAAAGCTAAAGCAGCAGAATTAGAGGACACTTCGGAAAATATAAACCCTGAGTAAAATAAAATTATTTATTTTAAATTTCATTTCTATCTTACTAGTGAAACACTAGAGTATTTTGTTTCAAGGAATCAGTTTGCAGAAATATATGCATTATCATTCAAAGAATTCAGTATGTTTGGAAAATTTAGCTTTTGAGTAACATCTTTACCTTCCTAAGTTCATGAAATCAATTATTTTTTCTATTTTGCACGTTCCAAGAGATGATCAGCCCTTAGAATAATATGTGTCTATTCAAATAATTAAAAAGTGTATATAGAGATGAACAACCCCAAACCCAAAGCTATTAAAAGTAAAGGTTAAAATGTCAGGCCTTTTTTGTGTTCTCTTTTATTTAGACTTTGTATTCCTTATGATCATTGGAGATGGATGTTTTGGAACACAACTACAGCATCAGGACTAGTGCATATATCCTGACTTTTAACTCTGCAGAGAGGATCTATCACCTGTACCATTAGATATCTAAATGTAGGCTTTCCCCTTCTGCTATGGAAAAAGAGCTTTTCACATCTGGGTCCCCTTTAGAGTCAATGGAAAGAAATAGGCGCTGTTAGGCCACTTTTAGACATTTGCTCCAGGATGAAGTAAATCACATGGCCTCACTGCAAGTGTCTCTCTTCAGGTGCCATACAGGATGCCAGAATGAGTAGTTCAGACATAAACATCAAAAATGTTGATGGCCTAAATTTAGTCAGATGAATCCTACAGCATGTCACAAACTTTCTTCTAGTTTTTATATCTACATTTTTTTTTTTTCCTAGAAAATGTGTAGTTGGGAACAATCACATGCTTTATTATACATGGAAGAATTTCAGCTTTCAAAAGATAGTCTGCAAATGCCATAATATTTACATAGAAGTATTGCCCAAATAAACATAAATTTAAGGATCTGCAGATTCCCAATGTGCAAGTCAGTGATTTTTTAATTTTATTTGGTATGTACCCAACAGTACCCTTGCAATCATAGGCACAGACAGGCATATTAGTACATCACAGACTTTCTTAGGAGGGGTAATTGAACATCTGGCTAATCTCCTGCACATCCCTTATACACATGGATTAAAACTGGCTTTGCTACCTTGGCATCAAAGTGGCTTGGAGTGTGCTCCTTCAGTTCAAAGTATTTTGATTTTATTGAAGAAAGCACTCTCGATACACTCTTCTGGAATGGTTTTTGTTTTGAAAATGTACACTCAGAGTGGTGCGCTCATTAAAATGAAATTACTTTGAAGTGAAGTATCGCATTCCTAGCCACTTAGGTGCAAGAAAAGGTTAGGAGGTTTAAATGCAGAGGAAGAAGCTGATCTGTGCAACATATCTCCTTGATAAGTAATCCTTTTATTTTTATTGTGCAAAATAAATGCAAGAGGGAGTAGATACCTGCTGCCTGACTATATCAGGAGACTTACATCGTTACATTTGTGCAAGAGTATGACAGGTTCTTTCAAGGGAACTATGGTTAGTGTAGTGTGAGCAGAAATGGAAAAGAGCTGAAAGAAACAAAGACTTTTAACTATTAGAAGAGGAAGGGCATGTAAAGACAGGCAATAGAAACATTTATTGAA